ATAAATTTTAACATTACAGATAGAAAAGTACTTCGAAGCATATGGCAGGAGAACGAACGAAATCCATTGCAATCCGATCTCTCCTACCACAGATGATTTGCCTATCGTTTCTTCGACAATAATATTGTCGGTTTATTTTTATTTCGTATTCCATCAGAGAAAGACATATGTTAGTTCTAAGTTCGGTTGCTATCTAAAATCACCATGAATCTGTAAAAAAATTAGCAGAAAGTCGAACATCATTAATTTGCCATTGAAAACTTCCTGCTATGAATGATTCTAATATTGACATCCTAATTGAATTGATCTTAGAGACCAAACTGATGAGATATTAATTTCATCATTCATGAATAAGGACTTAGGCAATCATAACAATATTTTCTTATTTGTCATTATTCACCAACAGTAAACATATATATATATTTTAATATTCAATCTCAAACCATCACCAATGAATTGTTATTTATTTTTACTTTTCTCTCTCTCTCTCTCTCTATTGAGTATTTTATCAGGCAATACGATATTTTCTTCTTTCATATTGACATAGGCGATGATTCGAAAGCAGAATTTATTCGATTACACATATTCAATAAAAATTGAATCTATAGTTAGTATTAGAATTTTGATAATTTGTTTTATTGTAGAACAAACAAAAATAAATTTTCTATGGCACAATCCTCATCTTCTGATTATATATTTAAAATTATTTTAACAGGTGATTCAGGTGTAGGAAAATCAAGTTTATTATCACGTTTTACTCGTAATGAATTTTCACTTGAAAGTCGTTCAACAATTGGTGTTGAGTTTTCAACAAAAGAAGTTCAAGTTGATGGTAAAACAATTAAAGTAGAAATATGGGACACTGGTAAAACGACTTTTTGTTTCTTTTTTTTTTTAATAAGAAAGAAAACAACTTTTTATATATTTATAGCTGGTCAAGAACGTTTTATGACCATTACAAAACATTATTATCGTACTGCTTTAGGTACTCTATTAGTTTTTGATCTTCTTAAAGCATCAACATTTCAAAATCTTAATCAATGGTATAGAAATTATTTTAAAAATCTTATTTATATTTTTATTTTTTCAAATAGGTATAATGAAGTACGAGCAAATGCTGGTATTGAATGTTCTATTATTTTAGTTGGTAATAAAGTCGATCAACGACATAAGCGTGAGGTTCTTTATGAAAATGCTAAACGTTATGCTGATGAAAGAAATATTCCGTAATACAAATTTTTTAGTATATATATTTGAAAGAAAACAAAAATTTTATTTTATTTTTTAAAGTTACATTGAAACATCAGCATTAGATACAACAAATGTGGAACAAGCTTTTCGCAGTCTTATTGCAGACATTTATCGAAATTGGATATCTCGAATAGATTTACTGAAAGAAAATCCAAATAAAAGGTCACACACAAGTAATCAACCAATAAGACCTAATTATGCATCATCATCTAAGCCGACAAATGATAAACCTTCTGGATATTGTTGTCCTATGTCTTAATAATATTCCTTTTTTCTTTTATTTATTGTACAATATCTTTTTTCATTGTCGTCAAACAATACATAAAAGAATTTCTCTTAGGCGTTATTCATACAGGACATTCAATAGAGTCCATCGAATCTAACACTGGGTGTGGATGTGGGTGTGAGCGTGGGACTTAGTGAAGACAACAAAAGTACCCGCGCCTGCGTCCCATGCAACAATGTGCTCAATTCTCTCATCAGCGTAAATATCTAGCGATAAACAATTGTAAATAATATGGATCAATGTCACACACCTATACCCGCCTAGTAGTTATGAGATCTGAATTCATGATTTGTGGTTAGATTTTAGGACAGTTCATTCGTCATCGCCCAAAAATAAATACTATTTCATACGTTTTTAAAAAACATTCTGTTTCAAAACTAATTGTAGATAAACTATCTTGAAACATCTAACTGCTTATAAAATATTAAGAATGCTGAGGTCGCTTATTAGATGTCCATTCTTACATTTCTCGATCAAGAACTTGTTTGATGTCATTCATTGGATTGATCTGCTGCTCTTTTAGACGGAAAAAATATAAAATTTCGTGTCAACTTTTGAAATAACAAAATAAATACGACTAAGATGAGAAAGTGACTCAAAAACGAGTTTTACCAATGCTTGTGACATCAAAAACTCATATAACTGAATCGAATGATTCAACTAATGTGTTAAGTTGGCTAAATTTTGAAAGAGTCATATAAACAAAAATGCGACGAAATTCATTCAACTATGATAAGAATCTTGGAATTTAGAAAAAAAAATATTAGTTGAATTACTTATTTCATGTTTCATTCAGATTTCGATAGAATACTGACTATTCAAATTTATTTGAACTAATTTTATAAAGAAAAAAAATATAAAACTTCGTAATTTTTTAAAAAATCTTCATAAGAGCCATGTTTCGTTGCTCATCTTCGAAAATGAGGGTGTGGGTGTAGAAGACGCCTACGTTACACCCACACCCAAAAAAACTTCATAATAATAACAAAAAACAGGTAGAAACATGCCAAAATTACTAGTTCTCGTTCATCAGCTCCATAGTTTGATGAAAAAATATTCGAATCTTAAGCTGCTGAGATGAATATTTCTCAAAGCAGAATTGTTAGCTTTTTATTTGATTTAACTATATTTGTCAAATGGAAATATTCATTGAAAAGCGTTTTATCATGAAAATATTGCTCGCTCTTTACTACTTATAATTTTTGTGGCAACCATATATGTGAGCATGGCTGATATGGTCTGTGAGAGGAGAGAAGCATTTTATTTATTATACTTTAACACTCTTTAACAATCTTGTTTCACAAATTAGTTTGCGATGAGTTGATCTTCGACCACTCCATCATCACCCTCAACGTGCAACAATAATTGCAATATAGTCGAATAGCTGAAGTTTTGGCATCTTCAAGTTTTTTAGGAATTTTAGCTCGATGAACATATGAGAAGATCCTGTACCTTCTAAACTAAGAGAGGAGTTACAGAAAATTCCTCTTGAAATTAATTCTATTTTCATATAGATTTTCTAATCTCATTTATTGCAATGTTTAAAAAGATCAACAAAAAAAATCGCTGAGAAAATGCACATTTATTTTTATCAAACTCATTAATTGTTTTGGATTTTATTTTTTTAACTTCCCCCCACCACTTCTGTTTCTATTCTTGTTTATTAGTACCAAGGAAGAGAAACATGTTTTGAATTGAAGTATCTCGATTGAATTTATGTAATTTTTTATTCATATTTTGACTTTCAGAAATAAAAGAAAACAGTAAAAAAATTTCAAGCTTTCTTTTTCGCACGGATCTATGCCACATGGCTATGTCAGCTCGTACATAATTTCATCAGAAGTTGGCTTAATAAACTTCTAGAAAAATCTGTATCTTGGAAAGTTTGTAATGACCTACTAAATATTCAATTAACGAAATAAACGTTAGTTGTTGAGTGAAAAATGAAAAGTGAATTGAAGAGTCGCTTCTTAATTGATGGTATCGAAATAAAAACTAACCAAGATTTCATAAATCTGCTTGCGATGATATTTTACGTCAGTCCACCTCATATAAAGGTTGTGAAATAAATTTTCATTAGGATCTGTTTGAATTTACAAAAAAAAAAGATTGTTAAATATTAATTAAATGGATACAACAATGTAAAATATTAAAAATTTTATATTTACATAAAAATCAATTGATGATTTTAAAATATGAAGGCTAATAAGAGATGGTTTACTTGATCATGCAACATTAGTGGATCTTAATTTAGAGCATAATTGTATTCGTGATCGTAAGTTTTAAGAATTTTAAGTTTTATTTTCGTCTTCTTCTTACCACCATCTCATTACATTGAGCAGGAAGGATAAGAAAGTGTTGGTAAAAGGACAAGAGGAAAAAGGTTAAACTTCTTTTTTCCTTTTCTCCACTAACCTAGAGTGATGTGAAGAGACAGTAAGGATAAATTGGGAGAATATTTTTTGACCAAGAAACAGAAGAGCAAAATGAGGACGGGACGAGCGTTTTTTCTGCTCGCCATGTGTACCCATTAACCAATAGAAAAATTCCTTTTGTCAGTTCTTTTCGTTCTCTCTCCGCGTTTTTTTTTCTTTCCTTTCTTTTGTTTCCCCCATCATTCGTACCAGAACATCACTTTCGAGACACTCAAAAAAAAACATTTGGAAAAAATTATTTTAAATATACAAAAAGATTGTCATGTGTCATGGTTATCGAGAAGAATTTAAGGTTTATCATTTGTCTCAAAATATTTTTTATTAAAAATGCCTTCTTTTTTTTTTAGAAAGCATCGTCTCCACCACCACATCAACAACAACCGCCTCCGCCTCCTGATATTCCATCCGGAAGTCTTCTCAATCTAGAGACCTTATTAGCTGCTTTAGATGCGATAGAGATCTACATTTCGTCACAAGGTAATCAACTATCCGCGTCAGTTGCAGACCGACTGGTGTTTTTGGCGAATCAAGTCCAAGCCATCGCAATACCTGACGCAACAACTACAACCAAAATGCCATCGCCACATCAATAACTATCTCTTTTTTTTTCTTTTATTGTTGTTCGTATTGTTGTCGATGTTGGTTCATCTAAACTAAGATGAAGAAGAAAAAGAATAAGAAAACAAAATACATAGGGGTATCCAAAAGTAGTGGCAACGACATTTTATTACCACATATTAAGATCGATAAAAATTTCTTTTTACATAGGATGATAGAGTGAAAAAAGCTCTTTCTTTCTATTCTATTTGATCATACTTCAGGTGACATCATAATAAAAAAATCCTAATAAGACTAGTTTACCTAACATGTGTCACGGTTACAGAAGTACATATTGTCTTCAATAGACATTCTTTTCTTGATTTTTTCCTTTTTTTTCTTCTTCTCTTCATTCTTTCCTCTCACTCTTCTGAGATTTTATCATTCCTCATATGTATACAAAGGTACATGCGTCTTTTTGTGCACGTGTCGTGCGCTATTCTATTCTATAAAAAGTGAAAGAAGTTAAGTTAAATCGAATCTTACTACTTTTCATTTTTGTTTTCAATGGACAAAGAAAATTTTCGCTTCTACACTAAAGTGCGTACTGCGCTTAATGTTGAAGCAACAACTATTCACGACGAATTACGTACTGTTTTCGGTGATGAAGCTCCTTCTTATCGAACAATTGCAAGATGGGCTCAATGGTTTCGTGAAGGTCGAGAAGAAATTGAAGATGAAGAACGATCCAGAAGACCTGTAACTGAGAGTACTCCTGAAAATATTGAAGAAATTCGCAGTATTGTTAGTGATGATCCTCATGTTACAATAGCAGAATTACAAGAATATACTGATCTAAGTTATAGTACCGTTCATAGAATATTATCTGATCATCTGGAACTTAGAAAAATTACTGCCCGTTACATACCCAAACAGCTAACGGATTATCAACGGAGTGAACGTGTTCGAATATGCAAAGAATATCTGTCAAGATTTACAGAAGGAGGATAGCGTTTGTCTGACGTGGTAACAGGTAATGAATCATGGTTTTTCCGTCAGCAAACTGGTCGAAAAGTTTCCAATGCTGCTTGGGTGGCAAAAGACGATCCTCTGCCCACAATAGTTCGACGAAATAAGTTTGCTTCAAAAACTCTATTCTGCATTTTCTTTAAATCAACAGATCCTCTTCTAATCCATCGTATCGAACGTGGACAAACTATCAATCACCAATATTACATCGAAAACTGTTTGCAGCCTGTTATCGAAGAAATCAAGAAACAAAGACCTTGTTCAGGTACTCATGCCATCAAACTTCATCATGATAACAGAGGACCACATTTTCATAAAGACGTACTCGATTATCTTCATTCAGAAGGAATTACCGTAGTACCACAACCACCAAATCCTCCAGATCTGTCTCCATGTGATTTTTGGTTATTCGACTTGATCAAACGAAATCTAACTGATCAAACAGACTCCGAATCGTTACACAACGCTATAACGGAGTTCATGTATTCTTTATATAAAGAAGAGTACAGAAAAACGTTCGATAAATGGATTCAAAGAATGGAATTGTGTGTAGATAATCAGGGCCATTACTTTGAGCATTTAATGAAATAAAACCTCTCGTACTTGTTTATATATTTTCAATTTTCGGATATGCTAATCTTAATAAACGTTAAAAGTCTCGAAAGAGGTGAGAGGAAAGAGTGAAGAGAAGAAAAAAAGGAAAAAAATCAAGAAAAGAATGCCTATTGAAGACAATATGTACTTCTGTAACCGTGACACATGTTAGGTAAACTAGTCTTATTAGGATTTTTTTATTATGATGTCACCTGAAGTATGATCAAATAGAATAGAAAGAAAGAGCTTTTTTCGCTCTATCACTCTATGGAAAAAGAAATTTTTATCGACCTTAATATGTGGTAATAAAATGTCGTTGCCACTACTTTTGGATACCCCTATGTATTATTGTATTTAAGAAAAAATCATTCTTTAATCTATCTCAATCTATGTATGTACTATTTCCAACAAATATTGTGTATAGAAAAACACTCTTCAATCTTTTTCAAAACATCCTTCAATCTTTTTCATAACATTTTTTATAAAAATGTCCCCTCTTTATATTCATCCTCACTCTATCCGTCTTATTTATTGTAAAAATATACCTTCCTTTATCCTCATTCTCATACTATTGATTGTAAACAATATCTCTCCCTATATTCATCCTATTTTGTAAAAATATCTCTCCCTTATCCATATCCTTATTTACTGCAAAGATATCTCTCCCTTATCCATATCCTTACTTACTGTAAAAATGCCTCTTCCTTTATTAAAAACACCAATTCATGGAATCCATTCTCACCATACTTAACTTAAAAAATACATTATTAAAAATTATCAGAATGCATGTTAAAAATTAATAAAATACATTAAAAAAATACATTATTAAAAATTACCAAAACTCTATGATGGTTACAAACAAAAAGAATGAATTATTATGAATCATTAAAAATTATCAAAAAAATCTATTTTAATTGGAAAATGCAATATAATGCATTATTAAAAAATTATCAAAAGACATTATGGGAAAAATTTTGAATACAAAAAAATGCATTATCGACCATCGTTAAGAAATCTTTAATGCATTAAAATGCATTATTGGGTATTGTTAAAAATTCATGAGGATGCATCAAGAATTATGATTAACGATGCCCAAAAATATAAACAATTATAAAAACAACGATAAAAAATATATATATAAAAAAGCATAAAAAATCCATGAAAAATGCATTAAAATGCATTATTGAACAAGTATCCATCAAATAGAAAGAAATGCATTAAAATACATTATTTGACAAACATCCATCAAATACACAACAAAAAACCACTACAATACAATACAATACAATTGAACTTGTCGTTGATTCCCAATTATTTCTTATCAAATATTTCTTATTGAATATCGCTTGATAAAGAAGTCATTCGAAAGGCCTTGCGTGAAATAATATAAAAATATTATTTGTCTATTTTTTTGTTGTTTATTTATTTTTTCCCTCTTGTTGTTCTTTATTTTTCTCATTTTCTCTCTTTTTTTCCTTGTTATTCTACATATCTCTTTGAAAAATTCAAAAAGAAAAAAAAACAAAAAACACTAAAAATAATTAAAAAAAATAATAAAAAATAAAAACTACTCAAAATTTACGTGTTGATTTGCTTTATTGAACAAACTATCATCAATGAAACCCTACTGTTTTGTCAATCCTGTACAAGAATGAAAAAACAACCAAATAACATATTGGTATAGTGCACATTTTGACGACCAGTTGATTCATCCTCTGTCATTGTCCATGAAGCTGTTTGAAGGATGCGTAATAGAAACAGCAAAACCAAGGTAGTGTATGGTAGGCAAAACAAAAAAATATTTCCAACTATACATCAAGGTTTGTTATTTCACGTATACAGATGAATGCACATAAGCCAAACTTATTTCACATCGTGTGTATATATGCAACCTAATACTTTTATCTCTCGCATTCAGCAACATTAATACATTATACTATTATTCTGGCCGTCGACAAACAAGATTTCGTACGTATACAACGAACTAATATATGCCTTTTGAAAGTGCACTTTCTTCAGAAGATCTTTTTATCCATTAGTATTCGCAGATTTTTCTGTCTTTAATTAATACTCTTAACCTTGTATTAGATTATTTGCATCCTATGGTGTTCACTTAGGGCATACCAAAAGTATTGACATTGGTACTAGAATACCTCATAGAGAGTTCAAGATGATTCTCTCTTTTTATATACTGATAGTCCAAACAGTGCTCTATAATTCAACGATAGTTCATAATTTTTACGTTGATATTAGAATATTGAAAGCACAGCGAAAGTAGTGGTGACTCAAGAAAAAAATATGTACATAAAGGTTCATCGAAGTTTTTATTTAACCCAATGTTCGAAGTAGCCAGCTCTACTTGTTTACATAGAGTTGCGGTCGTTGCATCCCTCTATCAAAAGTTGTTCGATATGCTTCTTTACTGAAAGAGTTGATGAACTTGACTACAAAATAAAGTATCCATTCAGAACCATTTTGGTCTCTTAGATTTTGATTAATCAAGTCCAATAATCAAAAATTACATGATGCTAGATTCGAAGAATTAGGTAATGTGACTTGATCGTGATACCTTCCGATTCAAAGTTATTGAACATATCTTTATGACTATGCGTTTTCCTATTATCATGATGAAGTATAATAGCATAAGTATCAAACGAAGGTCTTCGTTTCTTGTTTTCATTTTCAACGAGCTACAAACACTTACTAGTCTAATATCGGTGACCGGCAATTCGAGATTAAAATAGAATCAGTTGACTTAAAGAAGACGTTAACAAAAGTTACTGTAGATGAAATACACATACACAATGACATCGAAACCAATATAGAAAAAGGAGACGACACACAAATGACGACATCATCTAATACATAGAGGTCAACAAATTTCATCAAAATTGTATTATTATTATTAAAACAACTGAAGAATGAGTATTGTAAAATTATAGAACACTATTGAAACTACCAGGATATACAAAGAGAAAATTTTCTTGAATTTTATATACGATATTGTAGTATTGACGTCATTACTTTCTGTAGGCCTCGAATATTTTTCTGGTGACAGAAATGTCCCGAAGTTCTCTGTGCAATGAACACTAAATATTAACTAATTGTTAGCTCGCATCTGACGAGCTTCCCCTTAGTTTATTCTATTTGTTCTCAAAATGTCCTTAACAGCTTGTACACAAATGTCTATATATATATGTATATATATCATAAGAGATAGAGGAGAGATCAAACAAGAAAGAAAGATAGATAGATAGAAATAAAGAAACAACAATAATAATAACGATAAACAAAGAAGAACAAAAGAGAAGGAGAGAGAAATCAAGGGTAGAACTGAAGGTGATTCACCTCTAACATTCTTCTCATCTGATATTAGATGTGTGCCTTCACGCATCAATGCTGAGTCCCTCAATTTGTTCATAAAATTTAGTTGAATATTTCGTATTTGCATCACTTGAAAACAATGAATCAATAATCATAATGTTAATTGTGAATAGATTTGCGAATGAATACGATTTGTCGATAATGATAAATCTTTCGTTACTGGTGTTATCAATCGATACTTTCGAAATAATAGATGTTGCAATACTGTAGATAGAAATACGTATATGTAATAACAAATAAGAAATTTTATGTTAAATGTGATTTACGGGGTTGTATTAATGACCAATCTTCACCAAGTTTTGTTGATCCTTTTTTTTTATAATTATAAGAATAATACGAATTTGAACAAATAAAAATAACTATTAATTTTTAAACATAAATCAGCAGTTGTTAAAGTTGTTTTTTCTTTTTCTTTCTTTTTTTTGAACTATTAATTTATTCACATTTATCGGTTGTTAAACATGTCTGAAGTTTAGATGTTCGATTAGATACGGTGATAATATCACAAATTAATGATATTATTCCAAACATATAATATTGTCAATGTATCTATTAATTACTCAAAACATTTGTATTTAATAACGAATCAATATGTCGTGATCATCGAAATAATTTTCATTTATACATGTATCAGTTAGTGCATTAAGATAAATAGTTGTTAATGCTGATAAACTTGGTTTATCATATTAATTTCAGCGTAATGAAAATTTTCTCATATCAACTGATCGAAAAAAACCAACGAAGAGTTTAATTCGAAGGAGTGGCATCGTTGGAAACAGCAAGAAAAACTGAATGCCACCACAAAATATGAAGGCAAGATATGATGTAGGCAAAAGCAAAAAGTTTTTAAAATACTATTCTCTGCAAGAACTATTTTTTTGTTTTTCTTTAATTTTTCTTTCGTTCTCTCAGCTCTGATGATACATATGTCGACGTATATAACAGAACGAAAAGAAAAATTATCCACACGAATGATAAGAAGAGACAAGAGCTTGAAGTGTTCT